TAGGGCTTAGGGTTTAGGGTTCCGAATCATGTGGACCTCTGATACATGAATCGCTCTCTCTGCATGACGAACAAAACCCAAGGCTAGCAGGTTATGACTAACCCTGTCCCAGCTCATAGGGCCTAGCCCCAGAGATCGAAGCAGTCATAACCCCAACTTGACGATTGTGAGCGTAGGAGAACGCATGCACAGCTCGCACACATTGGCAGCCTGCTGCGTGCCGTCCTCGCCCAGCAGGCCATCAGCAATGCAGACCTTTCTGGGAGAACGGCTTCAGGCCCGATTAATTAAGGCTCAAAGGTAACTTCAGTCCACAGCCCACGGTTGACGGTTTGGCGTTTAGGAACTCCCAAGTAAGTCATATGTGCTTCGCGCAACGAAGGGGAGGATCAAAGTGGAATCCTCCCCAAAGCATAGAGCCTTAACCCCAAACCCTAAACCCAACCAGCACTTGTGGGCTTAGAGATGCTGGGCTCTCATCCGCATCAGTCCAATACTCGAAGATTGCTTGTTATAATTATAGTATAATTGGCCCCAAAACCCTATTCTAATTATTAAGGCCCCTACATCAGCCTTGTGAATATTTCCGACCTAAACAACCGACCTGTTTGGGGTTCCTTCTTATAGCCTCTTTATATAAGTCCTTAAAAGAGTAGGTTCTTTTGGGGTTAAGGTACGCCCTCACCTGAACGCCTACCGTCAATGTGAAGCCTTTATTCATTAGAAACGAGAAGGGTCTTGGGCTCCTTAATAGTAGATTTAGAAGAAGGAACTCCAAGGAATACGATTGGAAGTTGTTGTTTTGGCTTCTGTTTATAGCACCCCAAACCTTCAACCCCGAACCCCGAAGCGGCAATCCTGAATCCTGAATCCTTCATGTCGGAGCCTTTATAACTAGAGTGGGGTTTTGGGGCATATTCTAAACTATAATGTTAATAAGGAGCCCCCACAAAATAGTATAGGAAATTATTGAGACCCCTATATTAACCCTTGATCCTCTAAACTCTTGGCACCAACGCTTTAGGGTTGAAGGCTTAGGGTGTAG